AATTAGAGGCATGAGCTGCTATGCCCAGCCTACTTTCTATATTTTGAAGCCATAACTAAATTCACACTGGTTTATGATGTTCATATCATCTTTGTGGATTTATATTTTTATTATTCTATAATAGCCTTGCCATTCTATATTAATGATTTTTCAATTGTAATTTGCTTCTGGCTGATGTTATTGCTGCAACAAGTTTCTTTTGAAACTTTGGGAGTTTCAAAAGTTTGAAACTTGACTGGCTTGACTACGTACCTGACTGGCCTACGTAGATGTTTACATCTTTTTAGTTTCAAGTTTTATTTGTCAGTAGGTTTTAGGTATGTCCTTTAAGAAAAACATAGGACAGATTTTTAAAAATTAGTATGGGATTCTTTAATAGGCAGGTAAACCCACCCATATTTGTTATAAATATTAAGATAGTTGATCTTATTTCTGTCATCTTACATGCTATTTTATATTTTCAAGATTCTCCTGTGCTTTCCTTTTTTCCCCTCTTGCTTTTTACAGGCTACATTAAGGTTTCTCTATTTCCTGGCTGATATAGTTTGGCTGTGACCCCACCCAAATCTCAGCTTGAATTGTAATAATCCCTATGTGTCAAGGGTGGAGCCCAGTGGAGATAATTGAATCATGGCAGTGCTTTCCCCCACACTGTTCTCATGATAGTGAATGAGTCTCATGAGATCTGATAGTTTTATAAATAGGAGTTCTCCTACACAAGCTGTCTTGTCTGCCTCCATGTAAGATGTGCCTTTGCTTCTCCTTTGCCTTCCACCATGATTGTGAGGCCTCCCCAGCCATATGGAACTGTGAGTCCATTAAACCTCTTTCCTTTATAATTTACCCTCAGTCTCAGGTATGTCTTTATTAGCAGCGTGAGAGCAGACTAATACACTGGCCCATCCTTCTCCCCTCAAGTGGCCTGGAAACTATACCTCATGCTTCCCTTCATCATATTAACATCATTATTAACTTACCAAAATATGATGGTTAATCTCTATTTCCAGCTTTCTTTTGAAGAAAGGAAAGACACCATAGTCCTACCCCCTCTTCTTCCATGTAATTATTGCTTAGTGAATTATTTACTCCTTTCCAAAATAATAATAATTAATAATACTTTCTGTCAATACGTATTTAATGTTATCAACATGTTTTATCTCTTTTCAACATCTTTTCTTATGTCTACTCTTTTATTTTTATTTTTATTTATTTATTTTTGAGATGGAGTCTTGCTCTGTCACCCAGGCTGGAGTACAGTGGTGTGATCTCAGTTCACTGCAACCTCTGCCTCCCAGGTTCAAGCGATTCTCTTGCTTCAGCCTCTCTCGTAGCTGGGATTACAGGCATGTGCCACCATGCCTGGCTAATGTTTGTATTTTTAGTAGACACGGGGTTTCACTATGTTGACCAGGCTGGTCTCAAACACCCAACCTCAAGTGATCTACCTGCCTCGGCCTCCCAAAGTGTTGGGATTACAGGCATGAGCCACTGCACTTGGCCTGTGTACTCTTTCTTTCTAAGTTTGCCTTTTGCTGAAAATATTCCTTAGTAGTTTTTTCATCAAGAGTTTTTGGGTTCATGTACATCCCACATGCCCGTAATCCCTACTCTTTCTTCAATGATGTATTAGAACGGTTTGGAACTCTGAGTTCAGAGTGACTTCTGTCTCAGCACTCTGGAAGCAGTGGTCCCTGGTCATCAGGCATCCACTGTGGTTGTTGGGAAGTCTCTTGACATTCCAGTTATCCTCCCATTGTAGGTTATCTGTGGTTGTGTTTAAACCAAGTGTCTCTGTCTCCATCATTGCCCTTTACTGAGCCAGGTCTAACTGGAGATTTTTTATTTTTTTAACTGGGTTCAGTCTGAAAACTTATGTCTGTCTTCAATCCTGAAAAATTCTTAGCCAAGATTTCTTTCAGTGTATCATCTCCCTATCCTCATTCTTAAACCCTCTTAATGGTAGGCTGGGACTTTTTGTGCAAAACCACAGAATGTACAACACCAAGAGTGACCCTTAAATTAAACTATGGACTTTGGGAGATAATGATTTCTCAGTGTAGGTTCATTGATTGTATCAGATAATGTACCATCTTGTTTCTGGGTGTTGATAATGGAGGAAGCTATTACATATGTGGGGACAGGGGGTGTGTGGGAACTCTCCGTACCTATGTTCAATTTTTTTCTGTGAACCTAAAACTGCTCTAAAAAAAAAGTCTATTAAAAAAATAAGCTCGAGATTTGATAAAATTACTACTATTAATATTTTAAAAAGAAATAGGCCAGACACTGTCCCTCACACCTGTAATCCTAGTGCTTTGGGAGGCTGAGGCGGGAGAATTGCTTGAGCTCAGGAGTTTAAGACCAACCTGGCCAACATAGCGAGACCCCCCCATCTCAATTTAAAAAGTTTTAAAAATAAAACTATAAACATGAAATAGAAGGGAAGATGGATGGATATAAAAGGATTTATGATACAATATTTGAGGTTGAATTAGGAGGACTTGGAATTGACTGAATGGAATTTGGAGTTGTGGAACCTGACTGAGGGGATATTGGTCTTCAATTCATAGTGATCATTTTTCATCAATGACTGTTGTGGATGTTTCAGGATATTGTACAATTCAGCTGTTACAAGAGGGTTCTTTTACAATCTAAAATTTAGGCCGGGTGCGGCGGCTCACACCTGTAATCCCAGCACTTTGGGAGGCCGAGGCAGGTGGATCACCTGATGTCAGGAGTTTGAGACCAGCTTGGCCAACATGGCAAACCCCATCTCTACTAAAAATACAAAAATTAGCCAGGCATGGTGGTGCACACCTGTAGTCCCACCTACTCAGGAGGCTGAGGTGGGAGGATTGCTTGAACCTGGGAGGCAGAGGGTGCGGTGAGCTGAGATTGCGCCACTGCACTCCAGCCCAGGTGACAGCGCGAGACTCTATCTCAAAAAATACATAAATAAATAAATAAAATTTAGTAGATCTATTCCAACATTGACCCATTAAAAAATAAAATAAAATTTAGTAAAATCTTCCTTTCATTGAACTAATTGACAAATTTTAAAAAATTTAGCAGAATCTTAAGAATGTTAAATTTTCTTTCATAGATTTTAAATAATTTCTAGATTATTTTTGAAGTGGAATTTTTTCCACCTGATTTCTTCTGTGGACATATGTTCTTGATGAACAAAAGGAGAAAACACTTTGTATACACACGTGTTCCATCCCAAAATAGCAGTGTTTCAGCATCTAGTTCTGGGCTCAGATCTAATAAGTTACTAGAGCTGCTGTTGTCATTGCCCCCACCCCGCTCCATGTGGCTTAGAGAAAAACTTTGAGGTTATAAAATGTATTAAAAAGTACAACTGAGCACTTGAAAAATCAAAACTGGCTAGCTCTTAGTCTCTGATTTTCCATTTTGTTTACTTTTTTTTTTTTTTTTTTTTTGAGATGGAGTCTCACTCTTGTTACCTAGGCTGGAGTGCAGTGGTGCAGTCTCGGCTCACTGCAACCTCTGCCTCCTGGGTTCAAGTGATTCTCCTGCCTCAGCCTCCCAAGTAGCTGGGACCACAGGTGTGTGCCACCATGCCTGGTTAATTTTGTATTTTTAGTAGAGATGGGGTTTCACCATGCTGGTCAAGCTATTCTCAAACTCCTGATCTCAGGTGACCCACCTGCCTCGGCCTCCCAAAGCACTGGGATTACAGGTGTGAGCCACTCACTGTGCCCGGCCTTGGTTACATTTTTATGTAATAAAATAAAGAAGTTTTTTTGAGACAGGGTCTTGCTCTGTTGTCTAAGCTGGAGTGCAGTGGCACAATCATAGCTCACTGCAATCCTGACCTCTCAGGCCCAAGCAATCCTCCCATCTCAGCCTCCTGAGTAGCTGGGACTATAGGAATGCATCACTATGCCCAGCTATTTTTGTATTGTTTGTAGAGATGGGGTTTCACCATGCTGCCCAGGCCAGTCTCAAACCTCTGGGCTCAAACAATCCACCTGCATTGGCCTTCCAAAGTGCTGGGATTATAGGCATGAGCCACAGCACTGAGCAAAATTAAATTTTTAGACCTTACCCTCAACTGTAACCACTGTTATAAATTTTAAGCCTCTGATATCACCAAAACAATATCAAAATATGTTATAAGAGTTAAACCTCGTCATGCTTGCAAAATGAATTGGTAAAATCTGATACCATATTCATATAAAACAATGATCTCCAACATTTTTGGCACCAGGGACCGGTTTTGTGGAAGACAGTTTTTCTACAGACAGGAAGGGGGTGCAGGATGGTTTCAGGATGATTCAAGCACATTACATTTATTGTGCACTTTATTTTTATTATTATTACATGATAATATATAATGAAATGATTCTACAACTCATAGTAGTGTATGATCAGTGGGTGCCCTGAGCTTGTTTTCCTGTGACTAGATGATCCCATCTGGGGATGGTGGGAGACAGAGACAGATCATCAGGCATTAGATTCTCATAAAGCGCACGCAGCCTAGATCCCTTGCATGCACAGTTCACAATAGAGTTCTTGCTCCTATGAGAATCTAATGCTGCTGCTGATCTGACAGGAGGCGGAGCTCAGGCAGCGACGCAAGCAATGGGGAGTGGCTGTCAATACAGATGAAGCTTCACTCATTTGCCCGCCACTCACGTCCTGCTGTGTGGCCTGGTTCCTAACAGGCTATGGACCAGTACTGGTCCATGGCCAGGGGATTGGGGACCTCTGGTGTAGAACAGTAGTTTTTCTTGTTGTTGTTGTTGTTGTTGTTGAATCTAGTTTCTGAGTAAGCCAACACAGGTACATTGCACAGTGAGACCTGATAACGAATATCACTATTTCATATTTTAAGTTATCTAAAATGCAAATGTTAATTGATAGTGCCTGTTTGTTTGCTTGCTTGTTTGTTTGCTTATTCTAAAAATACTTTCAGGAGCTGCTGGCTGTCAGTGTCCCTGTGCTATTTGTTTTGCGGTGTTGATGGCACATTTATGACAAGAAACGCCAGACCCAACATCGTCCTGCTGATGGCAGATGACCTTGGAGTGGGGGATTTGTGCTGCTACGGTAATAACTCAGTGAGGTAAAGTTGGACTCTGACCCCTTCCCTGTATGTGGGAGTCTCCCATGCCACAGTGGTCACGTCTTTGCCGTTGTAGAGAAGGGTTTCTGGAGAGAAGTCATTGTCTGATGTTATTGGCAGGAATAGCAGAGGTCCCCGGGGAAAACTGCAAAATGTCAGGAGACCGCTTAACATCCCAGTTCCCTTAGTTTCTAGCTGTTGGTGGTGGCATTTTCATTATTGTGCAAAATTTACGTTTAAAAATTGGCCTTTTTTGGTCAGGCATGGTGGCTCAAGCCTATAATCCCAGCACTTTGGAAGGCCAAGGTGGGGGGATTGCTTGAGCCCAGGAGTTTGCGATCAGCCTGGGCAACATACGGAGACCCTGTCTCTATGAAAAAAATTAAAAAAAATCTACTGGGACATGGTGGCGTGCATCTGTGGTCTCAGCCACTCAGGAGGCTGGAGCAGGAGGATTGCCTGAGCCAGGGAGATTGAGGCTGCAGTGAGCTATGATCCCACCACTGCACTCCAGCCTGGGTGACAGAGGGAGACTCTGTTTAAAAAAAAATCACCTTTTAACCATTTTAAAGCGAACAATTCAGTGGTAAGTACATTCACAGTGTTGGACAACCATCACCTCTGTGTAGTTGTAGAATTTTTCACCCCCCCAAAAAAGACCCCCATTACCCATCCTATCCCCATGCCCTGTTAACCACAAATGAACCCTCTGTCTCTATGGATGTGTCTCTTCTTGGCGTTTCATATACAAATAATCATATAAAGTATGTATTTTCTCAGGCTGCCATGACAAAGGTCCACAGACTGGTTGGCTTAGATAATATCAGCTTGTTCTCTCACAGTCCTGAAGGCTGGAAGTTCAAGATCAAGGTGTGGGTAGGGTTGGTTCCTCCTGAGGCCTCTCTCCTGTCCTTGTAGTTACCATCTTCTCCCCGTGTCCTTACAGGATCGTCCCTCTATGTGGGTCTGTGTCCTCATCTCCTCTTATTATGAGATGTCTTAGTCTATTTCAGGCTGCTATAAAAGAATACCATAGGCCGGGCGCGGTGGCTCACGCCTATAATCCCAGCACTTTGGGAGGCTGAGGCGGGCGGATCATGAGGTCAGGAGATCGAGACCATCCTGGCTAACATGGTGAAACCCTGTTTCTACTAAAAAAATACAAAAAATTAGCTGGGTGTGGTGGCGGGTGCCTGTAGTCCCAGCTACTCAGGGAGCTGAAGCAGGAGAATGGCGTGAACCCGGGAGGTGGAGCTTGCAGTGAGCTGAGATCCGGCCACTGCACTCCAGCCTGGACAACAGAGCAAGACTCCGTCTAAAAAAAAGAATACCATAGACTGGAGTGGCTTAAAACAACAGACATTGATTCTCCCACATTCTTAGAGGCTGGAAGTCTGAGATCAAGGTGTAGGCAGGGCTGGTTCCTCCTGAGGCCTCTCTCCTTGGCTTGTAGACACGGTTTTCTCCCGGTGTCCTCACAGGGTCATCCCTTTGTGTGTGTCTGTGTCCTCATCTCCTCTTCTTATAAGGACTTCAGTCCTATTGGATGAGGGTCTACTTTAATGACCTCATGCTACCTTAATCACCTCTTTAAAGACTCCATCTTCAAACACAGTCACATTCTGAGGTCCTGGGGGTTAGGACTTCAGCATAGGAATTTGGGAAGAACACAGTTTTGCTCATAACATATGGTATGTGGTGTCTACGGACTGGCTTCTTTCACTGAGCGTAATGTTTTCAAGGCTCATTCACATTGTAGCATGTGTCAGTCCTTCATTCCTTTCCATGGCTGAACAATTTTTCATTATATAGATACACCACATTAGTCTACAGCTTTAAAAACATCTTCCTTGAATTATTTCTAAAGTCTCTGGTCCCCGGGGCTCTTTATTTCTCTACTCTCTTTTGATAGACCAATCTGGCACTTGTGAAAACACATAGCATCTTTTAGTGTGGATTTAAATAACATTGTTTCTTCTTGGAATGCAGATCACAGTCTAGTCCTATATTTTTAGCATATATTTGTTGATTGAAAGGCATTGGTCTTTCTTTCTTTCTTTCTTTCTTTCTTTCTTTCTTTCTTTCTTTCTAACAGCAACAACAACAGCAACAGCAGCAGCAGCAACAGCAACAACAACAACAGCTAGCAACAACGGCAACAACGGCAACAGCAACAACATATATATATATATATAATATAACAACAACAGCTGGCACCAGCGCCAGCGCTTTCTTTCCTCTTTATCTTTCTTTTCTTTTCTTTTTTTCTTTCTTTCTTTCTTTCTTTCTTTCTTTCTTTCTTTCTTTCTTTCCTTCTTTCTTTCTTTCTTTCTTTTTCTTTCTTTCTTTTTCTTTCTTTCTTTCTCTCTCTCTCTTTCTCTCTTTCTTTCTCTCTTTCTTTCTTTCTTCCTTTCCTTTCCTTTTTTTCTTTCTTTCCTCTTTATCTCTTTCTTTTCTTTTCTTTTTTTCTTTTTAAGACAGGATCTCACTCTGTCATCCAGACTGGAGTGCAGTGGCATGATCTTGGCTCACTGCAGCTTTGACCTCCCAGGCTCAAGTGATCCTCCCTCCTCAGCCTCCTGAGCAGCTGGGACTACAGGCATGAGCCCCCACACCCGCCTAATTTTTTTTTTTTTTTTTTTTTTTTTTTTTTTTTTTTTTTTTTTTTTGTAGAGTTGGGGTTTTGGCATATTGCCCACTGTGGTCTGAGTTCAAGTGTTCAGCCCCTCCTGGCCTCCCAAAGTGCTGGGGTTACAGGCATGAGCCATCACGCTCAGCCTTCATTATAACCTTTCTGTGAGATTGTGGAAAAAAAATGTTGTACACATGGGATTAAGATTGGGTATGCTTTAGCTTTTAGGAGAACAGGCACGTCTTTTTTTCAACCTGTAGAATTCTGTAAGTTTTACAAAATTTTTGCAACATATTAGACAAAATGGGAAATAAATTAAACTCCAAAATGTCACAATTTGGTTATAAAATAGGTCAATTTTACCATAAAATATATATTAATGGGAGGCTGAGGTGGGAGGATCATTTGAGGCCAGGAGTTTGAGACCAGCCTGGGCAAAATAGCAAGACCTGTATCTCTGCATAAAATTTTAAGGCCAGGTGTGGTGGCTCACACCTGCAATCCCAGCAGTTTAGGAGGCTGGGGAAGGCGGATCACTTGAGGTCAGGAGTTCAAGACTAGCTTTGCCAACATGGTAACACCTCATCTCTACTAAAAATACACCACTGGGCGTGGTGGCTCACGCCTGTAATCCCAGCTAGTCGGGAGGCTGAGGCAGGAGGATCACTTGAACTCGGGAGGCGGAGATTACAATGAACCAGGATCGTGCCACTGTACTCCAGCATGGGTAACAGAGTGAGGCCCTGTCTCCAAAAAAAAAATTAAATTAAATAAAAATTTAAATAAAGTAGTAGGGCATGGTGGTGCACACCAGTGGACCTAGATACTTGAGAGGCTGAGGTGGGAGGATCACTTGAGCCCAGGGAATTCCAGGTTGCAGTGAGCTATAACTGCATCACTACACTCCACCCTGGGCAACAGAGCAAGAGACTGTCTCTTAAAAAAATATGAAACACATTAAAAATGTATTTAATCTAAATTACCCATTAATTTTAGGTCCTTGATAAGAAGAAATTGGCTAATTTTTTCATTGAAATACATTTTTTTTCTCAGACTCATAAAACTGTATACTGAGTGACCTGTATTCATTTGTAATAGTTTTGACTAAAGATATATTTTAAACTTACATTGCCCTTTGCTTTTAACCATCAATGCATCTAAGGAAGTAGAGAGATTAAAGTTTAAAAAAAATGAATTTTAGGTTTACCAGAAATAGAGTCAACTAGAATAGCTTTGATCCTCGATCATTGTATTGACAATTTTTAGAAACTCACCTGCCAAATTCTTCTTTGGTCTGCAGCACACCTAATATTGACCGCCTGGCAAATGAGGGAGTGAGGCTCACCCAGCATCTCGCAGCTGCTTCCATGTGCACCCCAAGTCGGGCTGCCTTCCTGACCGGCCGGTACCCCATCAGATCAGGTGAGGCAATGAAAAGGCAGCAATATTTCAGTCTCACCAGAATGCATTCTAATGATTAGTTTTTGCAAATCTTTGTAAGAATTCTCAAAATGTCACTCAGAATATTAGGGATCTAAAATCAAAGGGGGTTGTTATCCCTGGACAGCTTAAACATGTGTGCCTCTCAGGGAGGTAAAGTTGGACTCTGACCCCCTCCCTGTATGTGGGAGTCTCCCGTGCCACCGTGGTCACGTCTTTGCCGTTGTAGAGAAGGGTTTCTGGAGAGAAGTCATTGTCTGATGTTATTGGCAGGAATAGCAGAGGTCCCTGGGGAAAACTGCAAAATGTCACTGCACCTGCCCATCTCTGTGCATATAGTGACAGGGTTTAGGCCTGTTGGGGGCAATTTGCCAACTTACGGTCAACACTCCCATTTTCAGGTACTTGTGCTAAGATTTCTCAAGAGGCCCCTGATGTCTTTAAGCTAGCGGAGACCATGCAGTGGTTCTGAGATGAGTGGATCTAATCTGTCTCGGAGGATGAGATTGGAAAACTAGACACAGTTGGGGAAAAAAGTATAAGTGAGAAAAAAAAAGGAAATGAAACTTTTACATGCTTCCTTACTGGACCCCATCATTTCAAGATCCAGACTTACCAAGTTGATATAATGACAATTAAATGTTTTCCTTTGCTGCTTAGCTTAGAATCAATACCTACAAACATCCACTCAACATCAATATTATGAACAACAATTTTTATACCCAGTTAAAATATAGTGGTACCCTTAGACACTATTGAAGTGCTCATGGTTATCAGCCTCTATGTGAAATATTGTGCCATACTGCTGCGTTTTATTTAATTCTAGTATTTGCTTGTCATAATTTTAGTATACCTGCCTTCACAGTTTAATTTTTCAGTGAAAAATTTTTCTGTATGAATTTTCTTCCTTCTAAGTAGTAACTTCTCATCTGATACATTCAAGGAATGAACTAATTAGGTTAATGAGAATTATACTAAAATTAAAAGTAAACACTGAAATTTTTTGTCCTATAAATATTGATTTATTATTATCTTTTTTTGTTGCCTAATGACCTTCTTTCATAATTCAAGGTTCTCCATTTTGTTCAAAATAGTTTGATTTCTAGATAAGCAGTCTCTGTATAACACAGTACCATGTATGAACAGGGATGAAGATATGAGTCTGTATGAGTTTCCAAAAAAAATCACACTTACAATTTCAGGATTTCAGGATTTTTTTTTTTTTTTTTTTTTTTTGAGACAGACTCTCGCTCTGTTGTCTAGGCTGGAGTGCAATGGTGTAATCTCAGCTTACTGCAATCTCTGCCTCCCTTGTTCAAGTGATTCTCCTGCCTCAGTTCCCGAATAGCTGGGATTAAAAGCATGCACCACCACGCCCGACTAATTTTTGTATTTTTAGTAAAGATGGGGTTTCACCATGTTAGCTAGGCTGGTATCGAACTCCTGGCCTCATGTGTGATCCACTCGCCTTGGCCACCCAAAGTGTTGGGATTACAGGAGTGAGCCACCATGCTTGGCCTAATTTCAGGGAATTTTAAGTATTGATTATGGTGAAATAAAATTTATTTTAAAAAAATAAGAAAAAATTAGGTGATTGGTGGAGAGATTTCAAGTCATTGCCATGTGTATATTTTTAATAATTTCACACAAACGGTTCAGTTTAATTCATCCTACTTATCAAAAATTCAGCAAAATAGTTCAACAGCAAGATAATGGTCTAATGCTTCCTTTAGTAAAACTGTTTCTCTTTCCTATCAATAACACTAGAGTCTACCTTCTTCTTCTTCCAAGGTAGGATCCTTGAAATGTATTTTTTTCTTTTGAGATGGAGTTTCCTTCTTGTCACCCAGGCTGGAGCACAATGGCATGATCTTAGCTCACTGCGACCTCCGCCTCCCAGGTTCAAGTGATTTTCCTGCCTCAGCCTCCTGAGTAGGTGGGATTACAGGTGCCCGCCACCACGCGCAGCCAATTTTTGTATTTTTAGTAGAGACAGGGTTTCACCATGTTGGCCAGGCTGGTCTCCTGACCTCAGGTGATCCCCCCGCCTTGGCCTCCCAAAACACTGGGATTACAGGCGTGAGCCACTGCGCCCGTCCTGAAATGATTATTTATTTATTTGTTGCTGATCTTCACTTGTGGTTTTCTTGTGAATTCCTTTTAAACTATAGGTGTATACATTTGTCTGCCAGTATAAATCTACATAATCCCAGCACTTTGGGAGGCAGAGGTGGGCAGACCACTTGAGGCCAGGAGTTAGAGACCAGCCTGGCCAACATGGTGAAACCCTGTCTCTACTAAAAATACAAAAAAAAAAAAAAAAAAAAAAAAAAAAGCCAGGTGTGGTGGCACACGCCTGTAATTCCAGCTACTAGGGAGGCGGAGGCACGAGAATTGCTTGAACCCGGGAGGCAGAGGTTGCAGTGAGCCAAGATGGTGACACTGCACTCCAGCCTGGGTGACAGAGCGAAACTCCATCTCAAAAAAATAAATAAATAAATAAATAAATAAATTACATGTATACACACAAGTATATGAAAAAGCAATTGTCACTCCTACAATTCTTCATTTCAGATTCCCAATGATACATTAAAAAATGTATTTATACCCAGCTAAATATCCGAGTATTTACACACAGCTAAAATGCAGTGGTGTCCTCAGATCCTATTGAAGCATGAAGGTTATCAGCCTCTACATGAAACACTAACGAAGGTTATTTGTTGTTAGTCTGAAATTCAAAGGAGTGTAACTGAGTATCCCATATTTATTCTGGCAGCCCTAATTCCAAGGGAATGTTTGCATTTAGCGAGTGGGAAAAGGAGAGTCAAGGATGTACAGCCAGAAAGGCAACAGAAAACTTGGGGAAGAATGGCTTTGAGGAGGTGCAGGAGGAAAGGACTTGAAGCATGTCGGGATCAATTCGGTATTAGCAAAGACTATGGTGCTAACCCATTGACTCCTGTGAATTTAGGGATGGTGTCTCCCTACAACCTCAACCGCGCCCTCACGTGGCTTGGTGGTTCAGGTGGTCTTCCTACCAATGAAACGACTTTTGCCAAGCTGCTGCAGCACCGTGGCTACCGCACGGGACTCATAGGTATGGCGCCTGAACTCTGCTCGTGGAAACGTGATCCTGCGGCCTCTGTCATAGTATCTAAGGTGTTTCCGGGGATGTTGGCTCTGTGCGCGCCAGTTTGACCGACTTCTCTTTGAGATAAGACACTTGGAGAAGGAATTGATCGCACATTGACTGGGGATGTGTAGAATCAAGGGCATAATATTGGAAAAACAATGAGAACAGAAAGCAAACAAGGGTATCCAAAGTTGCCACTAAAATGGAATATTGTGTTGGAGGGATACGATGTTTGTGACACCATTATTAGCAGAAAAACTCGTAAATTTGTAGCGAAGTACTGTTGAAATTGAAAACTTAAAGCATTAAGAGTTGTCAAATGGAGGCAGTTGCTGGTCGATTTAGATCACATAATATTCTATGCCCTTTTGGCGGGGGTGGGGTGTTGGGGGGGGACATGAGCTTGTGAGGGAGACTTTCACCGAAAAATAAGTTTGTAGAATTCCAGTCCTAGAAGATATTCCTCTAAGAATAACTTGTGTGATCAAATCCTTTTGGGAAACGCTACCCCAAAGCATTGTATGGTTCACTATTTTCGAGGATTCCTAATATGAATTATAAGCCACAGCTCTGAGATATCCTCAGTTAAAAAAAGGTTAAGAGATTTTCCATCAGTAGGGCATGTATTCCCATGCAACTCCCAGCAGTGTCCTGTGAGTGCGAGTTCTCCAGATTAGCTTTGAGCAGCGTTCTCACATCATTAGAGCACAGGATTCAGATCTGACTCTGCCATTATTCATTAATGTGACTCGGGCTTCTGAATAAATCTAGATAGCTGGGCACAGTGGCACAGACCTGTAATCCCAGCACTTTGGGAGGCTGAGGCAGAAGAATTGCTTGAGGCCAGGAGTTCAAGACCAGCCTAGGCCACCAGAGCAAGACCCTGGGTCTACAAAAATAAAATTTTAAAATTAGCTGGGCATGGTGGCACACACCTATAGTCCCAGCTACTCAGGAGGCTGAGGCGGGAGGATTGCTTGAGCCGAGGAGTTTGAGGCTGCAGTGAGCTATAATCATGCCACTGCACTCCAGCCTGGGCAACAGAGCAAGACTCTGTCTCTTAAAAAAATAATCTAGACAATGTGTTTTCTATTCATAATACAGGGTCTGTGAAGTGTTGAATACAATAATGTGTGTGGACAAATCAGAACATGACCTGGCCCCCTAGAGGATGTGCTTGATAAAAGGAATTACTTGCATCATCAGAATCATTTGGTTCTTGATGAAATTCTTCGGCTAGTTTGTCATCCCTAGCTTGCGGACCTAGAAGAGGTGTTCCATCTAGAAATAAAATCTTGGTTACCTTTCAGTGAGATGGAATAAGAGGGTGGGAAGGCACTGCTAGCTAAAAGCATGAATGTGCAAGCTGCACCGAGAGTCCCTGGTATCGTCCCCACCAAACAACCAAGACATCGATTCTGGCTTCCTAGCAAGCTGCAGATACCTGGAAACTTTCTCATTGTTCATGAGGTTGTTTGGTACCAAGCCAAAGATTTCTTCTGAATGAACACTAGGCCCCTCTCCTTGTAGCAAAAGCGAAGCGGCTCCTGCTGCGTGGCTTTGTCTGGAAGAGACACATTGCAGGGAGAAGGCTGCTGGTGGTATGTCTATACCAGGGAGGTATTCGGGGATACCAAGAAAAAACCATGATGACCACAAAATGAAAGTTATATCTGAGTTTTCCAAAGGGAAGCCCACATTCTAGAAACAGACCAGCATTGAATGCTGCCCTGCTGCCGTGGTATGATTTTATTTTACTTTTAGGCAAATGGCACCTGGGTTTGAGCTGCGCCTCTCGGAATGATCACTGCTACCACCCGCTCAACCATGGTTTTCACTACTTTTATGGGGTGCCTTTCGGACTTTTAAGCGACTGCCAGGCATCCAAGACACCAGAACTGCACCGCTGGCTCAGGATCAAACTGTGGATCTCCACGGTGGCCATTGCCCTGGTTCCTTTTCTGCTTCTCATTCCCAAGTTCGCCCGCTGGTTCTCGGTGCCGTGGAAGGTCATCTTTGTCTTTGCTCTCGTCGCCTTTCTGTTTTTCACTTCCTGGTATTCCAGTTATGGATTTACTCGGCGTTGGAACTGCATCCTTATGAGGAACCATGAAATTATCCAGCAGCCGATGAAAGAGGAGAAAGTAGCTTCCCTCATGCTGAAGGAGGCGCTAGCTTTCATTGAAAGGTATTTAGCCATTTCTTGCCTGATTTCTTGCATGGACATTTTATTTTTATTTCATGGCAGGTCGTCACACCTTGATAACACGGACCTTTAAAAATCTTTTGGAGAGGCTGGGCATGGTGGCTCACGCCTGTAATCCCAGCAATTTGGGAGGCCGAGGCGGGCGGATCACAAGGTCAGGAGATTGAGACCATCCTGGCTAACACGGTGAAACCGTGTCTCTACCAAAATACAAAAAAATAAGCCAGGCGTGGCGGTGGGCGCCTGTGGTCCCAGCTACTCGGGAGGCTGAGGCAGGAGAATGGCGTGAACCCGGGAGGCGGAGCTTGCAGTGAGCCGAGATTGCACCGCTGCGCTCCAGCCTGGGCGGCAGAGCAAGACTGTCTCAAAAACAACAACAACAACAACAACAAATCTTTTGGAGAAAATGTGTGGTATTTGGCTTTCTGTTCCTGCATTAATTTGCTTAGAATAATGGCCTCCAGCTGCATCCGTGTTGCTGCAAAAGACATGATCTCATTCTTTTTCATGGCTGTGTAGTATTTCATGGGATATAATGGGAACTAAACATTGAGCCTCCATGGACATAAACATGGAAACAATAGACTGCAAACTTCTAGAGGAGAGAGGGAGACAGGGGGACATGGTTGGAAGACTACCTATTGGGTGCTCTGCTTACTCCCTGAGTGTAATAGGCCCATGTGACAAACTGGCACATGGAGACCCTGTATCTAAAATAAAAGCTGAGGGAAAAAAATGTAAGTGACATTTGTGATAGACTTGAGTCTCCTCTTAGGTAGAATAAAACAGTTAAATTTCCTGCAAATTTTGAATGCTCAAAAGGCAAAACAACAAAAACAAAAAAACTCACATATTTTGCTCACTTTCCCATTTTTAATGTTTTAATTTTTTTTTTTTTTTTTACTTTTTGGAACAGGATCTCACTCTGCCACCCAGGCTAGAGTACAGTGGTGCGATCATGGCTCACAGCAGCCTCGACTTCCCAAGCTCAAGTGATCCTCCCACCTCAGCCTCCAGAGTAGCTGAGACTACAGGCACACACATGATGCCTGGCTAATTTTTGCATTTTTTTTAAGAAAGGGGGTTTTGTCATATTGCTCAGGCTGATCTCAAGCTCCTGGGCTCAAGCGATTCACCCACCTCGGCCTCCCAAAGTACTGGGATTACACTATGCCCGGCCACTTACCCCTTTTCTGAAAACAAAAACTGGAGTTGCCATATTTTATTCTATATTGCTTCAGTGTGGATTGTTATGTAAATTGATTAAACTTGGGGGGTAAATTTTTTCCTCTGTCTCGGACACATACCCAGACACACACTCAGACACAGCCGGAAGAGCTCTCTGTCCATGAACTGTTGGGAGGTGGCTCTGTATTTATAGATACCCAGTTTTAAGTTTTCTATGTTCAACACAAGCTATGCAGGCATGACTGTAATGAGCTCTCATCATCCCATACCAGCTCACTTCTACATTACAAATTATTATTATTATTATTATTTGGAGACAGGGTCTCACTCTGTCACTCAGGCTGGAGTGTGGTGGTGCAATCATAGTTCACTGTAGCCTCAAACTCCTGGGCACCAGTGGTCCTCTTACCTCAGCCTCCTGAGTAGCTGGGACTACAGACGCACATGGCCACACCCAGTTAATTTTATAAAATTATTTTTCCGTAGAGACAGTGCCTTGCTATGTTGCCCAGGCTGGTCTCAAACTCCTGGGCTCAAGCGATCCTTCTGCCTTGAGCTCCCAAAATGCTGGGATTACAGGTGTGAGCCATTGTGCCCAGCCTAGATTACAAATTAGAGGCACATTAAAATTGTTGGTGTGGATTCTCATTGACACTGTTTGTCACCTTCCTTAGTGGGGTTGACAGGGAGTGGAGAGGGGAGGCCATATTGTTACTCCACCAGGCTGAAGGGTACGCAGTGGAATATCATTCACTCATATGCCCCTGTGCCCGTCAGATTCATTATTTATTCCAACACGACCATGAGAACAGTGATACAGCCACCCACTCAGCTCTCCGTTCATCTTACCTTCTCTTCCCATCCCAACCCATTTGCTTGGGCTACCTTTTTGGGAACATATTCAATCTCCAACTCCTTCCCTTCTTTCTATGCTGGTTGTAAAAATGTGTGAAGGAGTAGCTTTAGAATGACTGTATGTGGCAATGCAAAACACAAGGTCAGGCGGGGTGGCTCATATCTGTAATCCTAGCACTTTGGGAGGCTGAGGCAGGAGGATTGCTTCAGCCCAGGAGTTTGAGGCCAGACTGGGCAATATAGTGAGCTCTCATCTCTACAAAAAATGTACAAAATTAGCCAGGCTTGGTGGCATGTACCTGTGGTCTCAGCTCCTTGGGAGGATGAGGTGGAAAGATCACTTGAGCCCAGGAGGTCGAGGCTGCAGTGAGTCATGATTGCACCACTGCACTCCAGCCTGGGCAACAGAGTGAGACCTTGTCTCAAAATAAATAAATACATAAAATGCAGAACACAAAAAGCAAGATGTAAATGAGGAGAATTTATTTCTCTCTTGGGGTAGGCAGGCTACGGCTACAGTGAGGTTATTCACACCTCAGCTTTTATCTTGTTCTCTGCCACCTTTGTGAGCAGCCTCATGGCCCAAGGTGGATGCCAAAGCTCCAGCCATCAAACTTATGTTCCAGGAACCATGAAGGAGGTGGAAGAAAGAAAGAAGGGAAAATGGAAAGTAAGGAGCATCAAATCCTTACTGTGGCACATCTGAGTCTGTCCTTAAGATATGATTCTTCTGAACTCATACCTAAAAGAACACTTTGAGACAATAGATGAAGAGAATTCATACTTTATAACTCATTCAGCAAAGATTAAAAGATTTATTAAGCTGCTACTTTATGTCAGATGCTAAACTGGACACAAGAGAGTATAAAATGAACCGCATTAAACATTTTTGTTGTTGTTGTTAAGACAGGGTCTCACTGTGTTGCCCAGGTTGGAGTGCAGTGTTGTGATAATAGCTCACTGCAGCCTCCACCTCCCAGGCTCAAGTGAACCCCTTGCCTCAGCCTCCTGAGTAGCTGGGATCACAGGCGTGCCATTATGCACAGCTATATTTTTGAATTTTTTTGTAGAGACGGGGTCTTGCCATGTTGCCCGAACTGGTCTCAAACTCCTGGCTCATGCAATCCTCCTGTCTCAGCCTCCCAAAGTGCAAAGAATATAGGCATGAGCCACTGCGCCTGGCTACATGAAACATTTCACTGGGAACACAAATGTTCTGTTATCCTCGTTCCTCCTCATATCCTTTCAACATAAACCTCGTGGTATTTACGACTCACAGGAGAGGTATTGTCATCTGAAGTACATGGAAAACCTCCAGCAACCATTATGAGATCTTTTCATCAATGCAAAATCGCATTTAAATGGTGGAAATGGCTTTATTTGTGAAGGTAATTTTGTAACTTTCTACCCCTTAGGGTCAAACGGGAACCTTTTCTCCTCTTTTTTTCGTTCCTGCACGTACATACTCCACTCATCTCCAAAGAGAAGTTTGTTGGGCACAGTAAATATGGCAGGTACGGGGACAATGTAGAAGAAATGGATTGGATGGTGGGTAAGTATTCAGTGACAGAACTGTAAATATCTGAAGTACGGGCTACAGAAAATAAATCTGTACTGTCTCAAATTATGTCCAGCCCCTTGCATAGCATAAACACCTGATAAGTGTTTGTTTCATCCCTGAATTGAATTAAAAGATGGCTTTTAATTGTTCAGCAATACCAGTGAAATATATTCCCCATTAGAAGTCACAGTTTGTAAATATAAGTTTTCCCATCTTTAAAATAAAGACAGTCACTTTTCTGAAAAACTCATCGGCAGGATAAATGAAGTTGCACTGTAAAGAATACTGTAATTCCTGGCCGGGCACACAGTGGCTTATACCTGTAATCCCAGCCCTTTGAGAGGCCGAGGCTGGCAGATCACTTGATAAGGTTAGGAATTCTAGATCAGCCTGGCCAACGTGGTGAAACCCCGTCTCTACTAAAAATATAAAAATCAGCCAGGCATGGTTATGTGGGCCTGTAGTCCCAGCTACTTGGGAGGATGAGGCAGGAGAATCACCTGGATCCAGGATTCAGAGGTTGCAGTGAGCCAAGATCAGACCACTGCACTCCAGCCGAGTGACACAGCGAGATTCCGTTTCAAAAAAAAAGAATATTGTAATTTCAATTCCTGGTTATTTTGATGGATATAAAGGGAAATGTTATTCTGATTAGTCAGTTCTACAGGAAATACATAGAAATTTGGGATGGGGATTTAACACAACTGAAGCAATTTATTTCAAAGGCATAGTGTTCACTATAAAGAAATGCTAAGGAGAATAAATTAGCAGGCAGGAAGCGTCACTGTATGCATTCCAGAATAATAACTAGCTGTGCTAGTTGAATTGCATTCGCCCACCCAGCCTCTATGTTCCTGACAGAGTTGTCCTTCCTCTCAGCAATGGTGTTTCATTTTGGAATACAGTACTTTTCTTCTTCTGAGTGCAAACTTCTGAAAACGGTGCTCTGCCAAACCGTCTAAACTAACAATCTCCCAGTTATCAGCCGCCTCTGTCTATTTCTATGGAGTGCCTTTGAAAGAAATGGAGCTATTTTAATTTAAATGCATTTAAGGGGTATTAATCAAATTTTATTATAAATAACTTTCTTTTCTCTGAAAACCACAATCTAAGTGAGCTATAAAAAACTAGTTAAAATTACTGAAGAGCTAGTGGTGTCAGATAGGACAAAGAGGAATCTTGTCATGGGATAAATTTCTCTTGTATATTTCCACTGTGTGTGTTTCCCTCAAATTCTAGGTACCATTGTAATATTTACCATCTATATTTAATCCCAAAGAGGAGATAAAATACAGAGAGGGGCAGGGCGTGGTGGCTCATGCCTGTAGTCCCAGCACTTTTGGAGGACGAGGTGGGAGGATTGCTTGATCCCATGAGTTTGAGACCAGCTTGGGCAACATAGCAAGGCTCCATCTCTACAGAAAAATACAAATATTAACCAGGCATGGTGTCACACACGCGCCTTGGAGTTCCAGCTACCTAGGAGGCTGAGGAGGGAGGATCACCTGAACCTGGGAGGTGGAGGTAGCACTATAGCCTGGGTGACAGAGCGAGACCCTGTCTCAACAAAAAAAAAAAAAAAAAAAAAAAGAATACAAGGAAAGGCAGTGCTGCCAGGCTGCCAGTAAGGCATTTAAGCAGAAATGGGGAGAAAAAAGGAATGTATTAAAGGGAAAAACTTAAGGGCTTAAAGGGAACTAATCCCTGACATCCAAACCCTTTTTAAGCTTGTTGAACTAAAGCTAAGCTCTGTATTTCTTAATTTAATCTTTGCTGTGGGAAGTGTATGTATGTGTGTATATATATATACACTCAGTTGCAGTTATTTTATTTGCATGGTATAAATTACAAATCACTTTTATGCATAATACTATAGCTAGTTTTAATAGGAATTAAGCACCATATGTTATATACATATATACACACACACACACCATATGGTTTATATGTATACATATGTTATGTTTTTTATAATATATACATAGTACTGTATGTTGCATATATACACATATATATAATTTAATTCCTTGGTAATGAAATACAAACACTGAAATGTGTTACAGTTAAAAACCGCTATAACATTGTAGCCTTTATGGAATTATATAATTGGGATTTTTTTTTCTTTGCTTCTTTTGAAATTGCTTTTACTATATTTGTACTTAGTCAAAGGACAGTTTCCTGCAAAGGGAATTTCTGTTAAAGTCTGTGTCTGAGTATTTATCACTGAGAAATAATTATGTTTGTTTTACGGTATATGTAAATACATGATGAAGACGTGTTACAGAAGCTAGCAATTGCATTATTAAATGGCTAATATTATTTGACACAGGAGAAATGATGAGTAGCTATTTTTCTGCAAAACATCTCCCAATATTCTGAGTTTTCTCCATCATTTCTTATAAAAATTCTACCAAAATGAAGACATGTTGAAAGTCAGACAGGTATCTCTGTGGGTGTTATTTTACTATTTAACAATATGAGTATAAAACTCACAGGTTTAGTAATTTATTAACTTTACTCAAAAATAAACCTTAACAATGTTATACTCATGCAAATGCAAATACAAGGTGCAAAATGAACTTAATGAATCTTCAAGAATTCAATGACATTTTAAATTTTCCAATGAAAGAAACTTGTGCCTATTAAAAAACACTTTTAATCCCCCCCTCCCTTTTTTTTTTAAGATGCAGGGCCTCACTCTTTTGCCCAGTCTGGCTGGAATGCAGTGGTGCGATCACAGCTCACCACAGCCTTGATTTCCAGGGCTCAGGTGATCCTCCCACGTCAGCCTTCTGAGTAGCTGGGACTAAAAGTGTGCGCCACCATGTCTGGCCAATTTGTGTGTGTGTGTGTGTGTGTGTTTTGTAGTGAAGGAGTTTTGCCATCTTTCCCAGGCTGGTCTCGAACTCTTGGGCTCAAGTAAACCTCCCACCTCGGCCTCCCAAAGTCCTGGGATTACATGTGTGAGCCACCGGGCCCAACCTTAATCACTTTTCATTATTGGTTTCTTTCCAGTTGTCTTTGGTCAGAGGTCTTGTAAGTGATCTATTACCGTTAGCATTTATATATTCATATGCATCTGTCTATTTTCACTTTAGACACTCTACGGACAATTATTTACCTATGTATTTGTTTTGAAACAGAAAAAGAATTTGCAGCTACTATATTTGCACAGTATAAATTATAAATCACTTTTATGATTTTTTTGATATTATAGCCAGATCTAATGTGAATTGATAATTTACATATAATTACTCTCTTCCCAGAAAGCCTTTATAGTCTTTCATCTTACAAACCCTGGGCTTTAAAATATCTTAATTTCTAATTATAACATTTCTAAAAAATAGTATATGTCACTTGTAAAACAAATCACTTTTGAACAGTAGATAACAAAGGTTAATGAGTTTACATATAAACAGTTTTCTGTGTGGCTCCTTCCATTTTCTTTTATCTCTGAAGGGACAAGAGCATCACAGAGATGATCTAGCGTAAACGAGAAGTGCATTGTGACCTCAGGCCCAGGACGATGTTATCTGCTGATTAGCAAATGCTCAACAGACATCAGAAAGGAAATGAATGTTGTCTGGAATTTTGCTAGAACAGCTTTCTACTTATTATTTTAAAAAACTGTCCTCCTGAGGGATTGTCAACACCTTAAAGACAGTGTCTGCTGAGTCTAGCATTAATTGTCATTAGATCTTAACCATAACCCAGACAGCAAGAATAACCTGCAATTTCCGTGTAGACTTCAGATAGCAGCCAGGACAGCAAAATCTCTAAGGGAGGCGGTGCTGTGCCCTGGAGTACGAGGATGGCTTTGCTCATGTGTTCCTGGAAGTGTCATTTTGCAAACTGTTATTTTTAAAAATTAATGTTCATTGGTTTATTTAACTGCTGGGCCTAGCTAGCATTGTCTATTTGAATCGTTTGGGGCAATGATGACATTATATATTATTACATGATTTGTATAATAAAATAGACTTTATTATATATTAAAAAATAAAATAATGAACATATTATACAATAAAATTATATAATAAACCAATACTTTATATATTATATATAAACTATTCTGTATTTTAAATTAATATAATTAATGTATTTAGTATATTTAATATAATTTATAGAATTACATTAATATAATAAAATTAATGTGATAATATGTGACACACAATATCATACAATTATATAAAACAATATAGTATATATTCATATAAATGATATAAATTTATGATAAAATTTCATATATTAATTAGATATATATTATAAAATTTAACATATTCCTTACATATTATACATTTATTACATATGCTCATATTTTATATTTAATATATTTTCCTATATATCTATAAATAAACATATATTTTTACATATTGATATACAAAATACTATATAATAAAATAATATTTACATGTTATATAATTAACAATTTTTACACAATGATATAGTGTATTCATAATCATTATAAACTATTATATAATGATGTTTCTAGTATTGTAAAGTCATATGGTATAATAATACTTAATATGTATTGATTATACATATTGCAATATATTTTATTCTATTCTATAATTGATTATATTTTAATATATAACAATTCTTTATGCATTTCTAATACATCATGTTACATATTAATATGTATTTGTAAGAAATATGTACTATATATCATATAATATATAATAAATATATAGTTAGTAATTAAAATGTATGAAAGTGTATATTATATTAAATATAACATATATTATACATAATTACATTATATATTAAATATTTTAACTGCTGGATATAATATATATTATGTATACTATATTACATACAGTTTAAAATAGTATATATTACAATATTATATGATTAATTATACAATATTGTGTAATGCAGAATAACGTTTAAATGCTATGTGTAATAAATGCATAGTAGCAAACATGTAATAAAGCAGTGGTGATCTGCATCGAGAGGTCAACGTCTTTGTGTCTCTGACCCTCACCAGGTAAAATTCTGGATGCCCTAGACCGGGAGTGCCTGGCCAACAACACCTTGGTGTACTTCACCTCTGACAACGGGGGCCACCTGGAGCCCCTGGACGGGGCTGTTCAGCTGGGCGGCTGGAACGGGATCTACAAAGGTGATTGTGCGCAGAGAACCAACACCTGTCCATTGAAAATCAGTAGTCTCTACTGGCTTTGCATTTGTTTGAATTCATTTGCCATGATGTTCAGATATTTTTATGTGAGTCAGACTCTTATTAAGCTAGACCAAAAAAAAAAAAAAAAAAGCTGCAAATTTTGGGGCAGTTTCCAAGAGCTTCAAAGTAAAATGTTTGAAGCAATGCCAACCCCATGAGAGAGAGCATAGGATCTCAATGACCATCTATGGCAGATTTCCCAGCCTCCGCACAATTGACATTTGAGTCTGGAGGATTCTTTGGCTGGGGGCCTCCTGTGCCATTGTAGGTGTTGAACAGCGTCTGTGGGTTCCACCCACAAATGCCAGTAGCACCCACCCCAGAGCAGCGACAACCAGAAATGTCTCCTGACATTGCCCAGTGCCCCCTGGGGGCAAGATCATTTCTAGGTGAGAACTGCTCCTTTAGATCAATCCTCACTTGGATTCTCAGATGCAGGTTTTTAATTCGGTAACATCAATGATGCTATTTATTATACTTTGATGAGTGTTATGTCTATCAGAAAAAAGAGTTTTTCATTTGACTGGGGTGCCTGTCTCCTCATGGCCAGCAGATTCTTCCAGCTCACTTTGATAGACTTCATGCTGGGTTGTTCAAGAACTCCATAGCACCCACACTTAGGCATCACCAAAGGCATGCCAACAGAAAGAATAATTTAAAAAAGAATTCGGTATTTGCTGTTTTCCCACTACCCCCTAACCTTCCAAGTAAAACAAAAAAACTAAAAGGGTATCAAAATTGTCATCATTATCAAATCAGAATGTTTGAACTTCCTTGTATTTCGTTAAAAAGTTCTGTGTGTGTCTTATATATATATTTTCCTATCTATATAATCACTATGTATACATATTCACCATATTAATTGTTTATAATATATAATCATATATTCATATGTGATATATAATCCTATATATAGTCACTACATATGTATAGTTACTATATTCATTACATATAACACATATAATCCTATATATTTGCTATATTCATTACATATAACACATATAATCCTATATATTTGCTATATTCATTACATATAATACATGTAATTTTACATATTTACTACATATAATATACATAATCCTGTACATATTCACTATGTATATATAGTATATAACACATATAATCCTATATATTTGCTATATTCATTACATATAATACATGTAATTTTACATATTTACTACATATAATATACATAATCCTGTACATATTCACTATGTATATATAGTCATTATATTCATTATACACATAATTCTATGTATTTAGTATATTTATTGTATAGATCATTATACATAATGTTATATATTTAGTATATATAATATATAATTCTATAAATATATTTACTATGTTTATAGTCACTATGTTTATTATATATAGTATATAGAATTCTATATATTCACTGTATAGAGTATACATAACCCTACACATATTCACTATATATACTCACTATATTCATTATATATTACACATAACCCTATATATATTCACAATATTCATTGTATATAATATATATAATTTAATATATTCACTATATTCAGTATAATATATATAATCTTATATACATTTACTATGTATATATAGTCACTATATCCATTATATATAATATATATAATTCAATATATATATTCACTATATATATTCATTATATTTATAATATAAAACCCTACATATATGCACACACAGATAGGATTATATAGTGAATATATATATGTACATATATATAGAGGATTGTATATACTGGATTATATATTGCAAATTAATAGAAGTGAGCTCCTGAAAGCATTCGCCTCCTCTGACTTGTCATGTAGTCTCGCTGTAGTCATCACTGTTAATTAGCAAAGATGAAATTGGTACTAAGCCTGGTAGAAAAAGTGAGGAACAGGTTTGAGTCACCATATACATACCATCTAATGAAATGTGATTATTACAGTCATGATGATTCTAACAACTGTACATATTGTATATTGTAATAATTATTATAGTTGCATGAGTATGTGTGAGTGTAAAGCCCCTGTCCTTAAAAAGCACACATAACCCTGGAATAGGACTCTGGCAAAATTGTTGTGAGCATTTCTCAGGCTTTGGGACAGGATACCTGTTTCTCAGGGTGCTCCCTGTGAAGCAATGAATTCAATGGAGAGAGAGATTTAGATCTCCTGGGTAAACAATTGGTTTTGTTCTAGTCTAGTTACGCCCCCCCACTCTGCCCCACAAAGATACAGGTTATTAAATAAGATGAAGAAAACATCAGGATGGCTTTATGATTGTGTGTTAAAAACACATAGATTTGCTTCAGGGAGCTTGTCAAGTTTTTCTTATAATGAAGAATGGTGCTACTGGGGAGGCTCAGGAGGGAAGATTGCTTGAGCCCAGGAGTTGGAGGCTGCAGTGAGCTATGATCGCGCCACTGCACTCCAGCCTGGGCGACAGAAGGAGACAGTGTCTCAATTAAAAAAAAAAAATGGTGCCAAGAGGCTGAGCTGCCTTTCAACACTGGTTAGACTGGTGGATCAGTGAATGTGTCTGCAGTGAATTTTACCTAATTTTCTGCTAGAGGCTTCCGGTTTTGTGTTTCTTTGTAATGCTGCCTGTCAGACAGGTGCACACATAGAAGGCATTCAATAAACATTTCACACAGGAAGAGACCTTTTCCTCCAGAGAGGCTCCTATTTTTTCTTAAAGAGTCTAGACATATGGTCTTGACACTGCCATTTGGCATAGGGCCATTTTTCTACTCTGTAACAACCACCTCAATCTCACCATTGATCTTAAGGCAAGGGCTTCATTTGTTTTGTGCTCAGAAACACCCAAGGGGACTTTTGTCTAAGAAGTGATTCTTAACTCTGCCTCTGGCCATTTTTCTACTCACACTCCTCTCTTTCTTCCTCTATATGGGAAATCACATGGTAAAATTTTTTAGCTTGTTCCTCAAGGATCAGTATAATGTGGATAAAACCCGTCTTTTTCTTTTCTTTCTCTTTTTTCTTTTTTGGAGACAGAGTCTCACCCTGTCACCGAGGCTGGAGTGCAGTGGCACAATCTCAGCTCACTGCAAACTCCGCTTCCTTGTCTCTGATCCCCCCACTTCAGCCTCCCGAGTGGTTGGGACTACGGGCATGCACCACCATGGAGTGCAGTGGCGCGATCTCGGCTCACCACAACCTCCGCCTCCTGGGTTTAAGCGATTCTCCTGCCTCAGCCTCCCAAGTAGCTTGAATTACAGGCACCCACCACCATGCCCAGTTGATGTTTTTGTATTTTTAGCAGAGATGGGGTTTCACCATGTTGGCCAGGCTGGTCTTGAACTCCTGTCCTCAAGTGATCCGCCCGCCTCAGCCTCCCAAAGTGCTGGGATTACAGGTGTGAGCCACTGCGCCCGGCCAATATGGTTGGGTTTTAACTCATCTTTGGTTGTGTTGTGATCTTTGGTTTTAGGTGGCAAAGGAATGGGAGGATGGGAAGGAGGTATCCGTGTGCCAGGGATATTCCGGTGGCCGTCGGTCTTGGAGGCTGGGAGAGTGATCAATGAGCCCACTAGCTTAATGGACATCTATCCGACGCTGTCTTATATAGGCGGAGGGATCTTGCCCCAGGACAGGTATGGAAACAGTGGTTGCTCCTAACCTAGGGTGATATATTTGAACATATGTGGATATACTTGATAATTCTATGTGTGTGTGTATATGCATAGTATATTACTTAATTATCAATATTCTGCCCATAGGGCCAGATGTCTTTCTCCCCTTGGTGCATGGTGGAATATTTTGTTTTCTTCTTAGAGTATACCTTAATATTCTTTGTCATATTACACTTATGAAGGTGTGTGTTTGACTGTTCTCATGGATGGGATCTGTTTCTCATACGTCATCACATCCCTCACAGCTTCTAGACCATTACACAATTAAATGTTAAATGATTACTGAATAAAAACATGTATGCATAGAGCAGGTGCGGTGGCTTATGCCTGTAATCCCAGGACTTTGGGAAGTCGAGGCAGGCGGATCACTTGAAGTCAGGAGTTCGAGACCAGCCTGGCCAACATGCTGAAACCCCCATCTCTACTAAAAATACAACAATTAGTCTGGTGTGGTGGCACGTGCCTGTAATCCCAGCTACTTGGGAGGCTGAGGTGGGAGGATCGCTTGAACCCGGGAGGTGGAGATTGCAGTGAGCCAAGATCTCGTCACTGCACTCCAGCCCGGGTGACAGGGTGACACCCTGTTTCAAACAAAAACAAAAACAAAACACGTATGTGTGATTGCATGTGTGCTAAATGATATTATTGTTTCTGGTTTGCACTTTGTCTATGAGGTTTTTTTTTTTTTTTTTTTTTTGAGGAGACAGAGTCTTCTTGTCCCCCAGGCTGGAGTGCAGTGGTGTGATCTTGGCTCAGTGCAACCTCTGCCTCCCGGGTTCAAGCGATTCTCCTGCCTCAGCCTCCCGAGTAGCTGGGACTACAGACCGGCGCCACCATGGCCAGCTAATTTTTGTATTTTTAGTAGAGATGGGGTTTCAGCACATTGGCCAGGATGGTCTTGCTCTCTTGGCCTCGTGATCCACCCACCTCGGCCTCCCAAAGTGCTGAGATGACAGGCATGAGCCACCGGGCCTGGCCTTGTCTATGAGCTTTAAAATGAACACATACATCCTGTGCTTTAACGATTTAATTCCATGTGTGTGGGGTGATATCTATTCATTAAATGTGAAGTTTCACTGGAATCAAAAGAGCGTAAATAGCTTAATTTTTCCAGTCCACAACATTAACTCATATTGTCTTGCAAAGTATCAGGATCATAGTTCCAGCTGTTCTCTTCTTCCATGGCCTCAGAGAATGAATGTTTTGTTTCTTTGTCTTTTTGTTATAAAATGAGGGAAAAGGAGAAAGTTTTAAGAATTCCTTCTTCCGCCGGGCACGGTGGCTCACGCCTGTCATCCCAGCACTTTGGGAGGCTGAGGCGGGCAGATCACGAGGTCAGGAGTTCAAGACCAGCCTGGCCAACATGGTGAAACCCCGTCTCTACTAAAAATACAAAAATTAGCGGGGCATGGTGGCGGGCGCCTGTAATCCCATCTACTCCGGAGGCTGAGGCAGGAGAATTGCTTGAACCCGGGAGGCAGAGTTTGCAGTGAGCAGAGATTGCACCATTGCACTCCAGCCTGGGCGACAGAGCAAGACTCCGTTTCAAAAAAAGAAAAAGGAAATTTTTCCTCTGTATCTTTCGCCTCCTTCTCTTCCTCCCCTTCCTTTTCCTCCTCCTCCTCTTCCTCTTTCTTCTGCTATAAAATGCGTGACTGAACCATGCCTCTCTCACCTTCGACATGCCCCCTTCTCTCCCAAGAGTCATCGACGGCCGGAACCTAATGCCCCTGCTGGAAGGAAGGGCGTCCCACTCCGACCACGAGTTCCTGTTCCACTACTGTGGGGTCTATCTGCACACGGTCAGGTGGCATCAGAAGGACTGTAAGTATGAAGGCCGTGGACACGTGGAGAGATGATAAGGGCCCTGTTCCCATCTCCTTCGTCTCCTGGAGGAAGTTGTACCATGTGTGGATATTGCCCAGCCATGATGGTGCTTTTTCGCTGGGAAAGCCACATACACAGCGCACTGCAGTAGGATTTTTATTTCATTTCATTTCATTTTGAGATAGGGTCTCACTCTGTCACCCAGGTGGAATGCAGTGGTGTAATCTTGACTCACCACAACCTCCGCCTCCCGGGTTCAAGTGATTCTCCTGCCTCAGCCTCCTGAGTAACTGGGGCTACAGGCACCCACCACCACAACCAGTTAATTTTTGTACTTTTAGTAGAGATGGGGCTTCACCATGTGGGCCAGGCTGACCTTGAACTCCAGACCTCAGGTGATCTGCCCACCTCAGCCTCCCAGAGTGCTGGGATGACAGGCGTGAGCCACTGCGCCCGGCCTGCAGTAGGATTTTAGAGGGATGTGTTTGTGAGAGAGATTTGTACCCAAAGGGTTTCATTTTAAATTTTAAAAATATTTATAAAATAAAGATGAGATCTTACTAGGTGGCCCAGGCTGGTCTCGAACTCCTGAGCTCAAGCAATCTTCTCTCCTCGGCCTCCCACAGGTGTGACCCACCACAGCCAATCCACCCAAAGCGTTTTAGCTTAGGGAGGTGAGTGTTGACACAGACAGACCAATGCCATTGCAATATTTTCATGACTTAGATTTTCCGAGAGAAGGGGCTATATCCTACCACACAGGTTCACGGTGGGAAGCACCAGGGCTTGACTTGGAAGCACAGGCGGGAAGGAATGAAGAGCCCAGGTCACAGCCTTTATTATTAGGGTTTCCAAGGGAAAGGTCAGGCAGGGCAGGGTGAACAGCTTCAGACTGGTAGTTTGAGTAATTACAGTAAGTTTGGAGCAACAGAGACTGTCCCTAGCTGCCTGGCACCCGGTGCTGGTTGATTTAGGTCAGATCAAATATCAGCTCACTGTGTGAGAGTTAGATAAAGGAGGTGGTTGCTTGCATAGGAAGGGTGTGTTCCTCAGTGAGTTGTTACTATTTGTATTAGTCCATTCTCATGCTGCTGATAAAGACATACTCAAGACTGGGTAATTTATAAAGGAAAAGAGATTTAATGGACTCACAGTTCCACATGGCTGGGGAGGCCTCGCAATCATGGTAGAAGGCACATCTTACATGTGGAAAGCAAGAGAGAATGAGAGCCAAGCAAAAAGGGAAATGCCTTATAAAACCATCAGATCTCGTGAGACTTATTCCTTACCATGGGAACAGTTTTATTCAATGATCTCTGCCTGGCTCTGCCCTTGACCTGAGGGGATTATTGCAATTCAAGGTGAGATTAGGGTGGGGACAGAGCCAAGCCATATCACTATTTTTAGGAATCAGCTAGCCCTGGGAGGAGCAGTCTTTCCCCGAGTCTATCAGGCCTCTCAAGCTGTCAAAATACTAGCCCAGCACAGTGGCTTACAGTTGTAATCTCAGCAGTTTAGGAGGCCAAGGTAGGAGGATTATTTGAGCCCAGGAGTTTGATACCAGCCTGTGCAACATTGCAAGACCCTGTCTCTACAAAGAAAAAAAAAAAAAAAAAGAATTAGCCAGGAATGGTGGCATACAACCGTAGTCCGGCTACTCAGGAGGCTGAGTGGGAAGTTTGAGGCTGCAGTTGGCAGTGATCGTGCCACTGTACTCCAGCCTGGGTGACAAAGTGAGATCTTGCCTCAAAAAAAAAAAAAAAAAAAAAAAAAGTCAAAACATTATAGGATACAGAAAATTAAGAAAACGTGATTAATGTGTGTGTGTAAGTATGCATTAGCTTGTGTGAATGTATACATGAGAGAGAGAACAAGAGAGAAAGAGAGACTATGAATACCCACAACTTAGGGATGACTGAAGTAATTATTCTAGCAACGAGAAGTACATTTTTCAACGTGGCCTGCATGGTGGTTGCTTCTCTCCACCTTCCTTCCTTTCTAACATCCTAGTGATTGTTTCTGTCCCACATTCACGCTATGGGAGTCAATCCAAACAAATATAAATTAACAAATAGTATTGATTGCCTTACACCTGTAAAGAAAGGCCTTCTGGAGTCATTGCATGGAATTCCAGAATTCTTGGTTGGATTTAACTTTATTTGCAGGAGGAATTTTCTCTGATGGGATCAGTCACTTGTGGTGTGATGTATCTTCATTTTGATGCAGATAGTCCCACATAAAACAATTGCAAAAACAAAAATAAGTAAAACCTATGTTTTTAAGATTCTATATGAGTGCAGGACATGATCAATGATAAATAAAACAGCCCCGTAAACAGCATAAGCCTCCCAAATTTAACTATAGAGGATTATACAGTAGAATTTTTTTGTTATTATTTTTTCTCATCATAATTCCAGAAGTTGGGAGCATGGGGCTGACACAGTGCTCAGTACCACGGTCATGGGACCAGGATTCTTGTTTCCACTTAGCCACCTCTGACACACTAGCTTTCATTCTTATGCGTCTCACCCCATGGTTGCAAAGTGGCTGCAGTTCCTCCAGGCATCACACCTGCACTCCATGCAGTAAGGAGGGAAAAAACCAAAGGCGGTAAAGAATCCAGTTAGATGATTTAATCCTATTTTAGTAGGAAAGCACAGCTTCTCAGCAAGACTCCACCAGTAGACTTCGGTAAAATCCTCATTGACCAGAGGCTGGGCAATGCTTATGTTTTCTATCTAAAATTGATCACTGCAGCCAGGCAGGGTGGCACCCCAGCTACTAGGGAGGCTGAGGTGGGAGAATCACTTGAACCCAGGAGGCAGAGGTTGCAGTGAGCCTAGATGCTGCCACTGCACTCCAGCCTGGGCGACAGAGCGAGAGCTTACCTCAAAATAAATAAATAAGTAAATAATAAAACATAAAAAAAATTTGATCTCTGAAAATAGATTTGCTAACCATTTCATATCAGAAGAAAGAAGAAAGGGAGGGAGGGAGAGAGGAAGGAAAGGAAGGAAGGAAGGATGGAAGGAAGGAAGGAAGGGGAAGGGGAAGGGAAGGAAGGGAAGGAAATAAAGGAGGAAAGGAGGGAGCGAGGGAGGGAGGGAAGGAAGGAGGGAAAGAAAGGAAGGAAGAAGAAAGAAATGGAGGAAAGAAGGAAGGAAGGAAAGAAGAGAGTGAGAAAGAGGGAGGGAGGAAGGGAAGAGGAGGAAGGAAAAGACAGAAGAGGGAAGGAGAAAAGGATAAAGAATGATTCATTTTGCCAAATTACTTTTGTCAATTTCAGATGTGAAAGTGGTATTTAGCCTTGGATCACTTTTAATTTTGTTTGTACCTGATCAGATTGAGGTAGAATTTTAATTTGGTATTCCCACAATTACCCTATTCCCACCTGGGTCGTCATTGTTATCTCCAAATGTTCTCATGACAAGATTTCTAAAAATGTCTTCAAGTTTGCAGTAAAATTGTACATTGTTCTTAGAGTTGAAGACATGCTACTGTTGCTGTGTAATTTTGTGCAGAAGAGTATTATCAATCACTAGAAAAAGCATTTGAGAAAAACATCTTTAATGAAAAGAGTCCTAAAATCACCACCAAGATGGTATCATAATGCAACTTACTTTTTAGGTGCAACTGTGTGGAAAGCTCATTATGTGACTCCCAAATTCTACCCTGAAGGAACTAGTGCCTGCTATGGGAGTGGAATATGTTCATGTTCAGGGGATGTAACCTACCACGACCCACCACTCCTCTTTGACATCTCAAGAGACCCTTCAGAAGCCCTTCCACTGAACCCTGACAATGAACCATTATTTGACTCCGTGATCAAGAAGATGGAGGCAGCCATAAAAGAGCATCGTAGGACACTAACACCTGTCCCACAGCAGTTCTCTGTGTTCAACACAATTTGGAAACCATGGCTGCAGCCATGCTGTGGGACCTTCCCCTTCTGTGGGTGTGACAAGGAAGATGACATCCTTCCCACAGCTCCCTGAGACCATGGGGACCACGTGTTACCCACCACACACTTACTGTTACAATGGTCATAGGAGCAGAGCTCACCTGACTGATTCATTCCATTTGGGATAAAAACTGATGGCCTCACCCACTGTTTTATCCTCAGAAATCAGTTCTTTCAAGAGCTCAGTGAAATTAAAGTGGGTCCATATATAACAGTGAACCTGGAGGGGAGCATTTGTTGTACAATTTTTTTCTAGTATATAATTGTGCCATTGCCCAAGGGAAAGAGCAGATCAAGGTGACTTCAGCAGATTCTTGTAGAGCTTTTTGTTCCTAGAATTCATGGAAGCATCAGGTCCAATGTCATAAGTTAGAAACTTCTGCTTGCAGATTCTATACCTAGGTATGCTAGCTTTCTAATAAATCATGATAAGTACTTAATTTTTTCATGAAGCAGAGGGTCACATAAAATTTGAAGTAGTACTATTATAGTCAGATTGACTTCTTGATTTTCTCTCTTTCCTTCTTTTCTCTTCCTGTCCAATACGCATCTGGTTATGAGAAAAAATACTGGGCTGAAGTTCTTGACTTTGCTTCCTGGTAGCTATATCATCTCTGTGATTTGGTTTCTTCATGTGTAAAATGAGAAAACCAGTGTCTACTTCACAGAGTAGCTATGAGGATTATATGCATTAGTTAATGTGAAATCGCCTTGTATAGAATAAGCAGTCAATAAATATTATTATTACAAATGTTGTTGTTGTAAGCATCATCAATTGCAGTTAATTATGATTCCTTAAACACAAAATAAGAAAAATGGTGAAGAGTCAACATTTAAGAAAAAATAAAGAAACATGACAAACAATTATTTAATTGAAGGAAGGCATTTGGCAATACACATAGGAAGTAGTTCTAAGCAGGATAAACAAACATAAATCCAAAATTTGAAGCATCTGTGACTGCAGACTATGAAAGACAAAGAAAAGATCACAGATGGATGCAGAGCAGGTGAGCCTCAAACTGGGGCTTAGCCTGGGAGGGTTCTTGGCTTCCCTCAGGAAAGAATTCAAGAGTAAGCCAGTGGTGGAAGAAACAGCTTTATGGAGAAGGTAGCATCACAGTTCTGTGACTGCTCCTGCAGAGAGCAGGAGCTCAGGGCACTGCTGCAGTCATATTTATACCCACTTTTAATCACATGCAGATTAATGGGCAGTTTATGCAGAAATTTCTAGGAAAAGGGTGGCAACTTCTGAGTGCTCAAGTCATTGCCATAGAAGGGGGCAGTAACTCCCATGTATTGCCATGGCAATGGTAAACTGATATGGTATGCTGGTGGGCATGTCTTATGGAAAGCGGCTTCCATGTTTTAACTGGTCCTCTGTCTGCTTCTGTTTCTTCTTCTCACCATTCCTGGGCTCAAGCAATCTTCCTGCCTTGGCCTCCCAAAGTGCTGGGATTATAGGTGTGAGCCACCACATGTGGCCAACAATGAATGTTCTTTATTTTATTTTATTATACTTTATATTTTGAGATAGAGTCTCACGCTGTCATCCAGGCTGGAGTGCAGTGGTGTGATCTCAGCTCACGGCAATCTCTGCCTCCTGGGTTCAAGTAATTCTCCTGTCTCAGCCTCCTGAGTAGCTGGAATTATAGGCACACACCACGACACCCAGCTAATTTTTGTATTTTTAGTAGAGACAGGATTTCACCATGTTGATGAGGCTGGTCTCAAACGCCTGACCTCAAGCCATCCACCTGCATCAGCCTCCCAAAGTGCTGGGATTACAGGCATGAGCCACTGCGCCAGCAACAATGAATGTTCTTAATATCACTAACCTGTGCACTTAAACATGATTTAAAATGGTACATTTTGTTATGTGTTATTTTACCATAATTAATTTTTTATTTTTATTTTTATTTTTTGAGATGGAATCTCGCTCTGTTGCCCAGGCTGGAGTGCAGTGGGAGATCTTTTCTCAAAAACAAAGCAAAACCCCAAAAAACAACCTAACAAACAAATGCAATAACAACATCTTCTGCAATTTTTTAAGTTTGAAGATTACTTATTTCACTCAGAGCTCCCCTGTATTACTTGTCTTTAATGCTGTTCTCAAATTGTGTGTGTGTGTGTGTGTGTAGAGAGAGAGAAAGAGGGAGCAGCTAGCAGGTCCCTACATCACCCGAAAATCCATCATTTTCTCTTTATTCAATTCTGTAGTGGTGCGATCTCGGCTCACTGCAACCTCTGCCTCCCAGGTTCAAGCGATTCTCCTGCCTCAGCCTCCCGTGTAGCTGGGATTACTGGTGCCCACCACCACACCCCCCTAATTTTTTGTATTTTTAGTAGAGATGGGGTTTCGCTATGTTGGCCAGGCTGGTCTCGAACTCCTGACCTCAGGTGATCCACCCGCCTCGGCCTCCCAAAGTGCTGGGATAACAGTCGTGAGCCACCGCACCCGCCCCGATTCTGCTATTTCTTATTCCTTTTTACATTGTAGCCACATTGCAGACTTTGACCTGAATAAACCAATTAATTATGCCTCCACTTCACTAATGTGCCACTAGGAGGCGCTAGACAAATATTTCTCAACTACTCGGTCAGTGCGTTCAAGCATGCCACAGGTGTTCATGCTAGAGACTTGTCATTGATGTTTTCTTGAGCCATTGGAAGGAAATGGCCATGAGGAAAAGACTCGGGTTGTTTTATGTTAATCCAGGGGATTTGAGTCAAAGTAGCCAATCTGTCCTCCACAATTCAGCATTTTTAGAGAAACAAAAAATGGTGGCAAAACATGCAGACTCTAAAACTGAATGTCTGCTTTTCAAGTTCTTTCTATTTATTGGCTAGGGAAAAATAAGTGTCACTTAACTTCTCTGTAGTGCAATGTCTCAACTTTAAAATGACTACAATAGCAAACTCTGCATAGAGTTGTTGCAAAGATTAAATAGATAAACATGCTACAACACTTACAAGAGGCTGGAACAGCACTTTAAGATGATAGTAATTTTATTTTATTACAAGAAATACTGAGGTTGAATTTTCTTAACCCATAACTTAGATTAGGAAGAAGTGGTCATTAAAATATATCATGCATTATTACTTATATGGTCACCATTCTGTGCAGTAGATCATTAAACTTATTGCTCCTGGGAGGGGATAAATTTATTAACTTGCCTGATGTAATCATTCCACATTGTGAACATATATCAAAGCATTCCATGGTACACCATATATACACACACACACACACACACATATACATATATATACATATTATTTGTCAATTAAAAATAAAAATGCTGACAAAATAAAAGGTGTTAAATGAATGCATAAGAAACATGAGGTAGGTGAAGTAGGAGTCTTACTCAAACCATCTGCCCTGATCTGTCCATCATCCCATGCTGGGACATGAAAAGCCACATATTCAGAGGACTGGAGGAATTGAGAGAGAATGAAGGACAGACAGAGTCTTCATCAGGGACGTTCCCTCACGGGAAGCCTCCTACTATGAACCTTAAAGACATGAGTTCTGGAAGGTGTCTGAGAAGGGATTTTCTGGGATTTGTGGTTTTTCCAGAGAGCTCGCAACACGGTGATGGGAGCAAACCCTTCTTTCATTATTATATTTTCCAAAACTCGTGGCAATATTTTGGAGAATTGTTAAGGTGGTAGGAGGGAGATATAAGAAACAGCCCCAGAGTGCCTTTGTGTTTGCTGCCCTGCATGTTTGCCAGAAAGAACATATTCCTCAGGTACTAGTCTCATGCTGCTGATATAGACATACCTAAGACTGGGTAATTTATAAAGGAAAGAGGTTTAATGGACTCACAGTTCCACATCACTGAGGAGGCCTCACAGTCATGGTGGAAGGCAAAAGGCACGTCTCACATGGTGGCAGGCAAGAGAGAAAAAAGAGCCAAGTGAAAGGGGAAACCTCTTATAAAACCATCAGATCTCATGAGGCTTACTCACTACCATGAGGACAGTATGGGGGAAACCACTCCCACGATTCAATTTTCTTTCACTGGGTTCCTCCTGCAACACGTGGCAATTATGGGAGCTACAACTGAAGATGAGCTTTGGGTGGGGACACAGCCAAACCATATCACCTCAGGTATGAAGAGACTGAAGAAATGAATGTGCCATTTTTCGTCTTTACAGAGTGTTTCAAATTTGCAAATGCTCAAAAATGTTATCCCTCAAAGACCTTTGAGGAAAAAGTTGGTTGATTGACTCCAGCAAAATGGAATGTAATCCAAGAAAGGCGAGAGTAGCCAAACACAGTGGCTCACGCCTGTAACCACAGCATTTTGGGAGGCTGAGGTGGGAGGATCTCTTGGGTTCAGGAGTTCAAGACCAGCCTGGACAACATAGTGCAATCTCATCTCTACTAAAAATTTGTTTAAAATTGCTGAGTGCAGTGGCGCATGCCTGAAGTCCCAGCTACTCAGGAGGCTGAGGTGGGAGGATCACTTGAGCCCAGGAGACTGAAGCTGCAGTGAGCTGTGATTACACTACTGCACTCCAGCCTGGGTGACAGAGCAAGACCCTGTCTCAAAATACTACTACTACTACTACTACTACTACTACTACTACTACTACTACTACTAATATAGAAGAGAGCACACAAGAAGCAGTGCTGAATACATAAATGTATAAAACAAAGTCTGAATGTGTTAGTGCATAGTTGTGAAAATAATCTGGAATTAACATTTCACATGGGAGGTAATTGAAAGAGCAGAGCAGAAAGAGAGAATGAGCATATGTTTATGTTTTTGTTTCATCTGGGAAGAAGACATAAGTAATGACTATCTTTATATTTGATAGAAAATATAAGCTTAAATATATGTGCTGACAGTTTAAAGGTGGTTACCACCAGAAAACTAGAAAAGATTTGTACAAGTTTCAGAGCCTTAATGGGAAATGTGTGAATTGAAGAAAACCTGATTCATGCAATCAGAGGTGGGTGGGAAAGAATTACACTGAAGTAGAAAGTCTGATATATGTAAAAAAGGGAAAATAATATGAAACAAA